GGGGGGGGGGGGTGGGGGAAACAAAATACAACAGTAAACAAGCCTTTCCTTGAGTATAAATAACAGAAAGTTATGGGATGATCTGAAATATAACTATACAGTGTTGATCATTAGGGAATTATAGTTTCATACGAGTGTCCCTAAATTGCTAACTTAAAAGAGACTGCGATTTAAAACTAATATTTGCTAAACTGAACCCACATATTGACACGAGACATTCAAATTTAATTACGCTGTCCTGGAAATAATCTTTGTCTTGCACATTCCTAATAGATTATACTAGCTGAGAAAAAGTAGCCTTGGTAACAGCTTTGCATGCATAATTATAGGAGCACGTTCACCTAATCCAACCCAGAATTTGTAATTAATTGGACTTGAAGGAGCAATTGAATAGATGACAAATAATATATGATGACTGATGGGCACTATTACAATCTACAAGTTTATTTTTAACTGAAAACAGTAAAAAAAGACGGATCCATAAAAAACATGTACAACTGTCATTGAAATGCAACATGTATTCATAGCAAATTAACATAAGCAATAAGCAAACTGGACGTGGGCAATTCAATAGAAAATAGTGTAACTGCAGTGTATACTTACCCACTAGTTTGGGCATCAAAAACATCACAATCACCATAAATCCGACCATCAGACCCATTGGGCTCTTCACAATAGACATCATGGAGAATGGTTCTCTTATCTACAGAAAAAGAAGGGGGCAATAAAAAGCACACATATTTTTCAGAATGAAAATTACAAATAGCATAAAACTGAAGAAGAAGTCAATCTGTTGGCACCTCATAATACTGTTCTTCTCTCAAAGCCTCCAAAACAAGCTCACTCAATACTCTCCTGTTCTCTGTCAGAGCTGCCTGAACCTTGCCCGGATTTCTTGCACTCACATCAATCCGGACCTGGCAGCCAAGAGGAGTTTTCTGAGTCTTATTATGAATTGATCAAGGTACAAGAAGAATCCAAGAGTTAAGAAGCTCACTGGAGAGAAGAAATAACCAATAGCAGCCACTTCAATTAGATGAGTCCCTGCTGGCACATTATGGCTTGACAACAATGAATGTCTTAAATCTTTCAAGCAACAAGGAACATATAAAGGGTGCACCAATGCTTAAAATAATTTCCTTCACAAATTTGTGCAAAAACATGCCTGAAAACATGGACATTATTGTTGAAGAGGCAGGAAAATAGTCTAGACTACTATTATAGCTCCTAAAGATTTGGAATTCATCTCACATGAGTGACCTCATGGAAAGTGGCTGGTGTCAGTTTTCTGTTTGAACGGAATAAATAAATTCGACCACACATTAAATTGGAAAACTAGAAACTGCATGTCATCTTTCCCACTTATAAACTATATGACTTTCACATGGTCAAGATTCACACAAGTGACGCATCAATGATTAATCTTCAAACTTGTTATTTTGACTGGAATATCGCGGGTTAACATTAAACCAATAGTATCCATCGTTTAAGGCTGTACCTACCGTCTTTTTTGGGGGGTCAATATCAGGGAAATGCCATACATTTGAGTGCGCTTCATTTGAAATCTTGTTAAGTGCACTTTATTTGAAATCTTCAATTGTTGGAATACAATTCCTATAATTTGTAGGTGTGCTTGACTTGCAAGAAAGCATAGAGTATCCTAACTGATCTTAAAAATCAACCCATAAAAATTGCAGTCATGGTCTAGCTGAGTTATATATTCATCTCAGCCCATATTAATTTATTGTTATGGCTCCCATTGCTGACTAGCAGTATTCTATTCCATTCAAACCGTTGAATTTGGACCCTAAACTTGAGAAGTTTCTTTCTTGAATGTCGATTGATTTATTTTCTTCCCTAGGAGTAATAAGAGATTAATGATATTCTTCAGTTCCTTGCATATTCTTTAATATAATTAAACCAACTTTTACAACCAATTGGCATCATCTCTTGATTCCAGCACTTAAAAATTTTCTCAAGAGGTTTTTGATAGAATTAAGGCAAAAAATAAAAAACAATAATGTGGAGAAACTGAATCTATAATACCTCTGTACATAAACAAGATCAATGTTCTATTTAGCAGTTGGCCCGTCACAAAAGTTCAGCCAGTTTTACTAAAAAATTCTTAAAATTCAACTGAATAAATAATGTATCATACAAATAAATCCTTCTCATATGAAATTTCATGTTAATAAGAAGATTATTGTTAACCATAATTCATTTTATTTTATCAGCTGCATTTGACATTTTCAGCAATTAATTTCTTAGATATTTCTAATGACAAAGAAATATCTAACTTCCCCAAGCAATTTAACGAAGTTTTCAATTTGCTTCCTAAACCATATCTTCGCCATTTTCTGAATACATGCAACAAAAACTATGATTCAGCATGTCAATTAAGGCCACTTTCCTGTCGACGTGCATCACACCTTTTCTAATTGTGTATATTCAACAAATTCAAAATCAAAGAGCTTAAAAAGGTAATCATCAGGAATCAGACGCCTAGATTACTACAAAAGAACACCAAACTGCAAATGAAATACTGAATTGCATGGACTTATGTCACACTCAGTACTGTTGTTGCATCCATCCCTTTTTTTAAATTTTTTTATATAATTACAGAAGGTTTAGATTTCACATTTAACCAAATTTTCCTTAACCAATAACACAACTAAGCCGCGAATTACAACTTAAATTTAGTTATCTTACACTATGATAATTCAATTTTTTGAATAATAATCAAAATTTTCAAGAACAGTTATCAGAGACAAACATCAAAAACTCCTTAAACAATCTGCGAAATTAAAAACCAAAACCCATTAATTTAAGCACTAAAAAGCAACCATACCAGGAAATTTGACTCGGCCATTGATGCTATATCCCTCAACGTTCCTGTAAAAATAAAAATGGAAAACATATTTTAATTTAGGGTAAAAAAAGGAAGATTTTCTTGAAATGACCATAGTAATACAAGAAAATTAGTTAATAAAACTCTTAGGTAAATAATACATCGAAAAAATTGAAAAATTGAGATAATGAGTAAAATTAATAGTTTATAGATGGAGAAAATAGTACTCAGGAGAGATCGCGAGTGCCGCACGTAATAGAAGGAATAGTAGTGAGAGGAAGATCACTGCGTGATTGCGTGTTACAGCTCCCATCGGAATTTGGCAAGAGAGAGACGGAGAAAAACGAGAACTGGAAGATCCAAAGAATTTGCTCGTTCGTGAAGGAGTCGAGCAATGGTAGATATATATATTTTTTGGCTGATAAAAGATTAACGATAAATATTCACGTCACATTTTTTATGTTTTGTATCGCATTTTAAATATTTTTATGGTTCTCAATCTCTATAGCATTTACGTTCCTAACGATTTTTCGTTACATCCTTATTTTCCAACTTTCTATTATTTAACATATTTTATATTTAATAATAATTTATGTCTAAAAAATCCGTTGAAATAGTGTGTAATAACTTTATTTTTCCATCATATAAAAAAAAGAAAAAGAAAATAAAAATACAAAAAATACTTTTTCCTTATTTCAAAGCATGAAAATAAAATATTTTAACATAAATTATCATCAAAAAATAAACATACTAATTAATGACGGGATCAGACAAAAAAATTAAGAAAGTGATTGTTACAAGGAGCTAAAATTAAGTAGTTTAACTGTAATTAAAATATGGTATAACAAATAAAAATTATAGTAATAACATAACAACTCAAAATTAATTTTACTATTTACCAATAAGCCCCTAACTAAAAATCAAATTTTAAATAAATTTTGATCAAATATGTGGTTATAAAATTGATAAAATTATAAATTTCATGTGTCGTTAAAATGAACAGTTGATTTTGAGTTAAATTTTTATCAACCTTTTTAGCTACATCAAATAGGGACTAAGTAATAATTGAAGAAAAATGTAAACAAAAGTTCAAATTTAGTTTTTTATTTTTTTATAAATGACATTTTGCATTAAAAAAATAAAAAATGAGCACGACTAAAAAAAAATCAAAATAGTGTGTTATGATTCGTTTGACTGCAAGAATGAAATTTAGTTGGAAAGAAAATGAATTTCAGGGAATTGAATTACCTAAAATTTGTTTTACTGAAAATTTTCAATTAAATATATTTAATTGGTATAATTTTTCACTTGAGAAATGTTGAAATTTTAGATTTTTTTGTATTCGTTTAGCTTTATTTTTTTATGAAATTTGTTAAATAAAGGGATAAAATTTGTTATAATTGTAAATAGAATTTATTCCAATTGTCAAAAAAAAAAATAATAATAAATAACAAAAAAAAGCTGGAATTGCAATTTCCACCAAAATCAAAGGAAAACTAAGAGTCCGTTTGATTATAAAGAGAAATTGAATTGAATTGAAACGAATTTTAGGTAATTAAATTGCCTAGAAATTATTTTCTTGGGAATTGTAAATTATTGTGTTTGATTGATATAATTTTCCACGATGAAAAAGTTGAAATAATTTTTTTTTTAGTGTTCGTTTGACTTTGTTTTATATGAAAATTGTCGATTAAAGGGATATAATTTACTGGTATTGGGGATGAAATTTGTTTCAATTGTCAACAAAAAAAATATAGTCAAAAAAATCATCTATCTTTTGGTGTTCGTTTGACTTTTACATGAAAATTGTTAGTTAAAGAGAAATATTTTTTTATAATAATTCTTAAAATTTATTTCCATTGTCAACACAAAAAAAAAAGCTACAATAACTAGGAAAACGAATTCTCACCAATATGGTGAGAATTCGAATTCAAGAGAAAAGCTAGAAAATACTGACATGGTGGCCAAAGGTGGAAAACGAATTCCTTGAAAAAATTTGTCAATCAAACAAACTAAAAGTGAAGGTTGAAATTTGTTTTCCATTTTCCCTAAAAAATAAGTGGCTATCAAACATAGACTAATATCTCCAAACCATGGAAAAGGGAGTGGGAGGAAAATAAATTCTATGGAAAATGTTGCACATCAAACACATCAAAAGGTGGAAAAAGAAATTTCATTTTCCATGGAATTTGGAGTCTATCAAACAGGCCCTAGTGTTTTAAAGTATACTGTATACTTATCAAATTAGGGAAATTAAAAGGTCGACATGGACTTTTGTAATTGTGAACTTGCAGGGCAAGAGCTAATCGTCTAATCATATCCAATCATGTTAGTATTGTCCTATTTTCAGAGGTCATTACACAACCTTTATAGGTTTAATTGTACCAATTCTTTGTACTCGAGCACGAATTAAAAAGATTTTTATTCCTAAATTTCTAGCTTTTTTAAGAAACAACAGCAACCACATTTGACAAATTTTTAAACAACCTTGAGTAGAAGACAAAAGTACAATGCATTTGATAAATATTATGAAGGAGAAGTATATTGTTGGGTAATATGCTTAGAGCCTGTTTGATTTTCAGAATAGATTTTTTGATTGTTAGGAGAAAAGTGGGATTCACCTGTGAGAGAAGAAATCAAATATGACGGCTGGAATAGTAAAATAACGGTTAAAATCAATTTTTTGAATGAAAAAATCACTCCCAAATAGGCCCTTAACATTTTTGGGTCTTTTCAACCAACCTCCCGCCTAATGATTGGATACATTTAAATCCTTTTAGTTGAACATCCGGGCGTTACCGTAAAAAAATCTTGAATTTCTTACTTTTTATTAAAGTTTTTGTTTTAAATCTGTTACAAAATACCAACAGTACATTAATAAGCTCATATATTTTATAAAGAAAATACAATAGAAATACATCTAAAAAATAATTTCCTTATTTCTATAATAATTTTGCCAAAATGGAAATAGAAATTAATTTAGTGTTTACATTAGTAGTCAAAAAATTATTTGGAATTTAGGAACAATTCAATGGCTGGATTTTTCTCCTTAATAATTAAAAAGGGCCAAGACAAAATCCATAAGTAGCAAGATAAAACACAATATTGGTAATTAAAATTTTTAGCTGTTATGATCAATTCTATTGAATCAAGCGTACCCAACAATTAGGAAATAGGAAGTTTACTTTCTTAATAAGCACGTGGCACAATGAAACTAAAATGGAGACCATCAAGCCCTGTTTGATCCCATTTCTGAGTAAAATGTATTATAGTGCATGTTAAGTTTTAATTTTTCATCCTAAAAAATTAACTTTTTGACCCTTACTTCCCTAAATCAATAGTCATTTTTGACTTATTCACTCACAGGTAAGACTTACTTTTCCCTCTAACGATAAAAAAACCAATTCTCACAATCATTATCGAACAAGCTCATAGAATAATGATTTTTTGGAGAACGTATAGTTTAAGTAAGGAATTTTTTTTGAAATACGTGTATAATTATTTTATAGAAGAATATGATTGAAAATGAGATTTGAAAAAATGAATTCTTGAAAAAATAAGGCTCAAATAGAGGCCAAATATGTATTATGTCATTTGTATAAAGTGCGTTTACAAATTTGGTTGACAAAATAATTGTTGGTAAAATCTAAACCCTTGATTTTCAATGATTTAAAAATTTGTTTTTGAAATTATTGGTGTAGATATTGTACATATAACATAATTCATCAGATATATGTGCATTTAATTGAAGAATAAAGTGCCTACATATGCTAATAACAGTAAAACAAGTTTATACTCGTATCCCATGAAGTCTATTTGAATTAAACAAAAAACATGGAAACCTTCAGACAAACTTTCCCATGTCCATGAAAGATAAAAGAATTTAACGTTCTCAAAATTCTGCAACGAGGTAAAAACGACATGTAGGATTATATTTAACTATTAAGAAAACAAATAATCACAATGCATATTTTCTAGAAAAGAAATTCCTAATGCACTCTATTATACAAGGAACAAACAATCATAATGTACTAGATTCTATTGGAAGCAAAAGGCAAACAACAGCCAAACACAAAGAATCCACCACCAGTTCATTAGTCTTGTATTCGACGGAAATGCTGTACGCCAAACGGTGCCTACCTCTGTATTGAGCTCGACCATTTTAACCGAATGCTATAAGGCCAATTTTTTCTTGAACCAATCAGATAGATTGGCTATCACAAACCCCAAAAATACCTGCAGTGCCATTTTAAACAGAAAGAAGGTGTGAAGAGTTTTAGTAGGACATAACAAGCAATGTATTTAAAGAGAGACAAAAATAAGCTCACATTGAAGTCCTACGAAATAGAATGTATCAAAATATTTATGATGTAGAACAACATGTTGGTAGGAAGGATTAGACAATACTTAACATTAATAAGGAAATAAAATAAAGGCAAAATTTTCTCCATTATACTGTCTAGTTGTGTTCAATACTATATACCAACACATGCAATAAAGCTTCACGCAGAATACTGGTTTCTTTTTTTCTTTTTTTTTGGGGACCGGAATACTGGTATTTTTACATGTTTTCATTCACTTGCCCCTTCCTAAACATCATTACCTGAGCAGAACCAAGAATATATATGGCAGAATAGTGACGTCCATGAATCACCACGTCAGCTACCATAGCAAGTGGAATGGTAAGAGACATGCCCAAGGTGGCCACAAGCGGCGTAGTCCAAACGACACACAAGGCCCTGAGAAGAAAAAGTGTCAACTATTATCACAATGAAAAATGTTGACGAAAGAAAGTTTCCAGTGAGAATAAATGGTTCACATACCAAAAATAATCAGAGAGAACACTTCCTATTAGTCCATTAGCAATAACGACTTCATCCATTTTAGCAGAGCGAGGAATTGTAAATTTGGGTTCTATACTCAAGGCTGTTAATGGCCAAACTGAAACAATAAGTAAATAATTACTTGTTATTGATGAAAGAAGATAAATATGTAACAACTGTATAAAATGAACTTCACAGAAACAAATTCAAAGAATACATGATAACTCCAAGGAATAACAATATCGTCCATTTTAGCGCAGTAAGGAATTGTAGATACCCGTGGCTGTCAATGGCATAATCAAATAACATTGGAATTCAAGCAACTAACTAAATACGAAATATTTATGGGAGAGAAGATAAATATATGACAAGTGAAGAGACTGAACATGACAAAAATAAACTCCAAGGATACATGAGAAATTCTGTTTCGAGGGAGGCAAAGAAAGAGATAAAAAATATCATACCAAGCCACCATAGTGCTACCAGTGTAAATAATCCAACATATCCAAACAACTTCTGCACATCAACCCTCTCTCCTTCCTCTCCAGAAAACTTTTTGAGAAGTACTACAAAAGATTGAAAAA